GGTTAGGAGAAGGCATGACGCCAGCCGCGTAGCCTCCACAAGCCATGCTCCATTGATGCCTCGCCTCTTTCTCATTTTTCTCCTTACTCTCCTCACTTATCAGGCCAACGTGACCACATCACGTGACCATAGCTAGCCTTCGTCTAGCTATAAGGTACTAGAATACACCACAGTCTAGCCTTCGATCTGATAAAACCTACCGGACGGAGCGCGCGCAAGCCTGCAAGGAATCCTTCTACAAGCAACCATCCATCTCAGACGTGACATGTCACGCGCACCAATTGCCAGAGAGATCTACGGTCACGTTGGCCACAACATCCTTAAACTTTTTATGACTAGGCTTCACCAATATTGCAACGTGCCCCCTCCTTGTACTTCTAACCTCCTTGCTATAACCAGTCAATCCAGTGCGGCCTCTGTTGCTATATGTCCTAGAGTCTCGAAATATGCACCCCGCTGCCATCGGTTGGCGCTTGCAGAAGGTATTCCCTAGCCCATTTCCCCAGCCAGCGGGGCTGTGGTGCCATCCCGTGGCAACGCTGCGAACTTCGAATACGTGTTCTCCAACCAGTCCAAGATCAGCGCATGTACCAAGGCACTAATGCTGGCGGTTAAAAAAAAAAATCAATGACTGAACTTACCTCGTTAAAAAGAGGAAATAGAAAACAAGAACCTGTCCCGGGCCATCTACGCCGCCACTTCGCAGACGATGCATGCGTACCGGGAAGTGCTGCCGAGAGATGGCGTACGCCGCGTCGAATGAGTGCCGGACGATTCGGGTTAATCTTGGTAGCAGACGATTTCGCAAAATAACCTGAATCGGCCGGCGCTCTCCAGAAAGCATAGATTGCGGAGAGGGTCCATCTCTAACCATGGGGAGCGTTTGCAACTTAAAGGCGGACTCTTCATCTGGATAATGGTCGCAAGCGCGCATGCGCTGCGTTTTCGCGTGGCGAGGTGGAAAGAAGGCAAAAAAGGCAGATACCGTAATATCCTGAGAGAGGACCCACCCTTGAAAGATAACCCACACCTATCATCGGCATTTTTTTTTTCACTTTTTTGAAGGCAGTGAAAGATTACTTCTAGTAATTGTAGGGCCCTGGTCAATGGTGACTTTCGCGGAAATGGTGTTGCTTACCTACAACGGGAGACAAGCGAACATTGCTGATTTGGAATACCAGTCATCTTGGCTTCATCGCCCCTATCTTCGATGACAAGTTTCACAAATCACAAAACCTAAAACTATTCTTTTTTACAGATTTTTTAATGCATTTATAATGCTCGTTTTGACGAAAACCCAGCGGTCGCTGCGTGCGACGCTCTAATTGGTCCAACGTGCTAACGTTAGCGCGCGTGAAACTCTATCTTTCTCCCCGGCGCTGACAAATTGACAGACACCGCCGGGTTTGCGTCGAAACGAGCCCTTTCGTTTTCGGCAAACTCACGCGCCAAGCTGGCGCGGACTCAGAGAGGGGGAGGCGCCGCGCAACACCTCCTAGATAACAAAGCCGTAGTGCTGAATGAGATGACTTAATCAGATTTTGTTGTTATCCCGAGACTGAGGCAGGAAAAGAGGAAAGTTTCAAAGTAGAAGAAAAATGAACAGTCGAGGACACCTCTACGTGTCCTCGACTGTTCATTTTTCTTCTACTTTGAAACTTTCCTCTTTTCCTGCCTCAGTCTCGGGCTAAGAACAAAATGGTTAACATCCACCAGCTCGCCTGCGCAATCACTACATTAACACTGAATCAGAGACGGCCAACGCGTACACAGATTTAAAACGAGTGCTGCGTCAGCGCTGGGCTTCGATTCAAGTTTGAGCCGAACGTAGACGCAATCGTCGTGTCCAATCTGTGCCCAGCGTTGGCCTCCTCTGATGACGCAATCTCAATCAGCACTACGCTTTGTTATCTGGGAGGTGTTGCATCGCGGCGGCGTGTACCCGATAGCCTGGACCCAACGCGGCGAGGAACATCGCGGCGCTACGCTTCTGCTCCTCTCGGCGCCGAGGATCATCGCATCGCCTGAGGCATCTATATCGTCGGCCGCTGCAACTTCGGCAGTAGCGAAACGGGGTCGTCCACGCCTGTGCACCGCAGACGAACTAAGAGAGCGGAAGAACGACGTTCATGCTTTCGCATTCACAACTCATAAGAAGTGCTTTGGTGTCCTCGTAATTATTTTTTTAACAAGGTAGGGTTAGTTGTTTCTTTTTTCTTTTTTTTTTTGTAAACTTTTAACACCTGCTTACACCTCTCTAGTAAATTGCAGCGCGATACGTTGAGAAACCAACTATTGCGGGCCGTTTAAAGTCGTCTGTTTAAGGTCGGCAATTTTTTTAGCTACCCCAACTCTATTTTCCGAATCATCGGCTTTTACCTTTTCCGGTATGCTATTTAGTACCTTGAAATTCTGAATATTTATTTTGAAATCGGCAAGCGAAATAACTTTCAAAACTAGCATTCAAATATCCTCGCGCTTTCCGTGGTGTGAACTCAGGGGAAGGCAGGCTTAGAAGTCGAGCGAGTACTCTAAAAATGAACTATGTCACGGATTTCTATCGTGCAGCTGCGCGGATGCTGGAGCGGGCGTTGAAAGCACTCATTTGACACCATGAAACTGCTTGCAAACAGTTGGGAACAATGTCTACGTCACATTTTCATTGTTGCGGAGACTCACTTTGAAAAAACACGGTGAGGACCAAAATTGTATAATAAATAGGCTTCGCGAAAAATTTATCTGAGCCCAATATTTGGGTTACCATTTCAGCGAAGTTTGCTCTTGCGTTCAGCAGATTCTCAGGCAAATCGGGGACTATGAAGAAACCGCCGGAGTACCCCTTAAAAGCATTTGTTTACGTGCTGTACTTTGTCTTCGAGTTTTCTTCCCCTCTATATGTTTTAACAGCATGACTAGCACTGTTTTTTGTGTGTGTGTTTTCGTGCTTTTTCCATCAAAATAAATGCTGCATTGCGAAACGCTTGGTCCCCGCCCAGACGTAGCGCTGGAGGTACCAAAGGCCAAATTTTCAAAACTTTTTTTTGTTTTAGTGGTAATGGGTGATAAAATTTTCAATAGGAGAATATGGCTCTTCGCGGTAGACGCTGTTCATCCCTGTGCATGCGTGGCCTTCGGCGGCCACCATTGTCCCACTGAAGATTCACGAATTTCGCTTATAACTTTGGAATAAGTTGACGGCAAGCTCTAAATCTGGGGCATCTGGTACAGAGCGTTAGTGTTATATTTGGACAGATGGCTGAGCGTTCGGCGGTGCGTAGTTTATTTCTAATGATATAAAAACAAATCTTATATACGGTGTTGTTGTTTGTTTGTTAGTTTTTTTGTTGTTTTTTTTTTGGGGGGGGGGGCGGTGGGACTCGTACAATATGTTAGTAGCACGATTATAATCACGGAGAAGGTAAAGGTTCAAGTTGAATGATTCAACTTGATGCTCTCTGATGTACCGCTCGCGTGTTCATTTTACAATCGAGTTCACATCATAATATGATACCGATACCACTTCAATGGCACGTCATTAGGTCGCGCATAAGATATCCCTTCATAATTACTCCGGAATTTCAAGCATGTCTCGAATTAAAAACGCTGCTATCAACTCTTTAATGGACCAACGTCAGTTGCACCTGGTGCCACACTGGGAAAAGCTTCGTCATTTTCGGGCAACCCATGCAGATGTCTGAGATGAGTGAAGCTGCGTTTTGCATTTACTTCGTTCGACCCGCCCAATCGCATGCACTGTGGCACAAACGTGAGGTCACCACGTTGCCACAGTTGACTAAGAGTTTCATTTAAATATTTTCATTGACCGTATATTTTGTTGTAAAAATCGCGGTTTAAAATTAAAAAAAAAAGTCCGCCAGAGCGTTTTCTATAACATGGTACGACTTATATGCATTATCTTTACAGGTATAGCCCTTAACACCAGATATTTGCCATCGGGGTTATATTTCTTGTTCACTTCCCTGATAAGAATATTGACAGATCTCACTTGCGCGTATATTGCGCTCATAATACACATCTGTGCGCGTATCAATGCAGTTTCGCCGCGCCGACCGTACAATATATATGTGCGACTTATACAAATGTGTAACTTGTAACAGCAATTCATAAAGAGGGAAAGGGGCGGTGGGGTGGATTTATACGAATGTGTGGCCATTGTACTTAATTTGGCATCTTTATCGCTGTAGTTTTCGTCTCATCATAAACCACTAAAACCGAAATTTGAGGTTCGAATTCTAAAACCTTGACAGCAGCAAAGAAAAGAAAATTTTATCCTGTAAGACGACAATGATGATAACATTCACTACAGAGGGGGAGGGGAACAAGCGGACAAAGGACAAACAAATCTCCAAACACAGCTTGGTGACTGGTGATCAACCGAAAGATCCCGCCTAGTGTATCGAACCAGGGACTTCTCCATTTTCAGTGGAGCGTTCTACTACTGAGCTAACCAGGAGTTAGACGCCAGTATAGCAAAACGGGTTTTATCAGCTGCCACCAGTCTAACACCTTCGTGGCGTTAGACTGGTGGCAGCTGATAAATCCCGTTTGCTCTACTGACGTCCAACTCCTGGGTAGCTCAGTTGGTAGAGCGCTCAACTGGAATTAGGAAAGCCCCTGGTTCGATACCAGGAACAGGCGGATTGTATCGGTCGCGCACCAGTGACCTAGCTGTGCACGGAGCCTTGTGTTTGTCCTTTGTCCCTCTTGTCCCCCTTCTCCAGGGATTGTTATCGTCATTCTTGTCCAGCTCGTTTGCATGAATCGCATTATCATCTATCCTGTAAGTTAGGAATACTAAAACAGTCGCGCCCCGAAAATCTACAAACTCGAGTGGAGTTGCTCTTGAATGTTTTCTTGACGTTTTGATACAAATGTAGAGTCTACTGTTCTTGTCACTGCTTGCTGCAATCTCAAAAACGGCGGCTTCTCACCACTTCAGGCATTTTACAGCTCAAGCTGGACACTTAGATCTGACAACAATGTCGCCTCTGCTCGTTACCTTATCCGCCGCTCTGACACTTGGCGGAGTCCTTGATGCCGCCAACGTTTATAATTCGGCCACAAAGTATCCAGAACTGAGGCCTGAGCTTGGGAAATACCAGGACTTTTCGAAGGTAACCCTTTCTGTATTTAGCATGTCTTGGTATATAAACATGTCTTAAAGCTTCCTGTTTTTGTGCCTGTGTGTGTGTATGTTTTTTTGCCGATTGTTGTATTAGTTTGCAAACAATCGACATTGTGATCGCATCGATTACCATCGCGTCATTTGGGATGGGCGTACACTTTAATTTAGAACGAAAAACTGAAATATATCGCACCTTGTGGGAAAAAAATTAAAAAGACTTTCATTTTAAATTTACGAACCTCCAGGGGAACATGCGCGTAAAGCGAATACTTGGACGACGTTCCCGTACCGATAATGTAGGGGAACAAGGTGAGGCGTGTTGTTCCTAAGAAAAAAGGAGCCGCGCGGACGCCTCAGTATAAGGACTGTTTTTTGGGGTAAAAGCAAAATAAACCCATAGAAAATGAATTTATTCTTGTTCTGCTTGGCACTTCTTGTATAAATGAGGTTTCAATTCGGGGGTCTCTGTCTTAAGTTTTTGTTTTTTGTTTTTTGTTTTTTATTCAGACAGTTTTGGGGTTTTATTTTCGTAGTTTATCGGTGTTTAGCGAAAACACGGAACCCTATAGTTATAATCCGTGTCCCTCTTCTGAAGTGTTTCCCCGTGAAAGAGAAATGGTACATGACGTACCGAAGCCACGAAATCGACCCAGGCTTTGGAGGCAAAGCTAAATGCTTGAGGGGGTCTGTCACCGGCTCAATGGCCGCTGGCACGGCTCCGGTTCTTCTTGGCATTGGAGGAACCGATACGTAAGTGAAGCAAATGACCAACATCTATTTCATAGAGGCTGGAATTGATTACAAGCGCATCGTTAAAGCAAGGTAGCGCATTTTCCATGGCCAGAAATTTGTGAAAGGCGCTTGTAGTTCACTTATCTGTCCCCACGTGGCGTATTCACCTTTAACTTTTACGCCGTGTACAAAAATCTCTCCAAAGCGGAGGGTGTGCCGAGTGAAAAAAAAAAAAACTTTAAAAATAAAAAGGATAAGAAAATTAGTGTCTTGCGGTTGCAACATACTGATAACTTTATCATTCTCCCTTACAATTTCATGGCGATACTGCGATCAAAGGAAGAACATCGGAACTTCTCAACACTTTCGGAGCAGTAATTATCGCACGTATTTCTGCAGTTCTTACAGTTGACTTGAAGGTCGATGTGGGCACCCTGGAGATCTAACTCAGTGCCTATACGCTCGCCTCTCGTTTCGGCGTCGCGCGTACTTATCGGGAAGCGACCTCGGCAGTCGCAGCCCGACTGCAGTGGTACCCCGGTGAGTGCTGCAAGGTCGACATGCCTTCTTGGGCTACCACACTGGCGGAAGCGCGATAGCAGCGTGAGCGGCGGCGGAGCTCTACCGCTCTCCCTACGCTCACTCAAAAGTGGCCGCGCGCGGTGCTGTTCGCTGGGCGATCGGTAGCGGTTCCTAGCGGACGCAGCGTGACCATAGTTAGGTACCTTTAGAGATAACTGTATATTGACTTATTGAGTGAGTAAAGGTCATAAAACGTATGTTTTTATTAATGGTTGATTCCGCACAGGACGTATCTAAGGATGGATTGTAAGCTAATGTGTTGCAGAAACACAATATCTTATGCCTTGATTTATATTCACGTTCCGTCCGGTGCAATGTTGTCACCAATAAAATTATCAGATTGATTTAGAACGAAAAAGGGACGTTTGATGAGTCGAACATGTGCCTGAAACTTGAAGAGAAAGGTGCCACGAGTTTTGCTTCGGGGACGAAAGGGTGACTGACCCGAAACAGTTCGTTACCGCTACTTTCATAGAAGCGGAACATTCAAGAACGCTCTGAATAAGAATACTCGATGACAGCTGTGAATGAGCTGGTATTTCTTATAATAATACAAAATTAATAGAATGAGGATCCGGGCCGAGTGGGACTCGAACCTCTTTCCTCTGCGTGACAGCCGCATCCGTTGCCCAATCCACCACGTACGCGGCTTTTTTTATTTTGTTTTTATTTATTTCCTGATTTGGACGATGACACAAGGCGGTGACACAGAATCGCGAGAAAACACAAAAAGACACCAGCCATATTGGCTAATGTCGAACATGCTACAAGGCTTTGAAACTAGACAACAACTCAAGAAGTTGCAGCCCCTCATGTGTAGGCCCATTTTCTTCAGAAAGCACATTTGATTAACAAAATACTTACGCACGGGGCTAACATCGACATCTGCGTGGCGCACAGCTACGCGACACCGCCACATAATTTGCAGTCCCAGCAGTAGGATCATGTCTGGAACGTAATTTTCCCCTTTTACCGCTCAGTCTTTTTTGAGGATTTTTCGCAGGACGTCCCAAAAGAAGATCGCTTTCCAAGAGTCCAGGAAAGCGTGACCAATCGTTTCCTGCATTTTGCACAGTATGCAGTTGGCAGACCAAGCTACTGGGATACTTGTTTCAAGTAACCAGGCTTTAACTAAAAATGTATAACTATGCAACTTAAAAAAAAAAAAAAAATCGTGTTAGGGGTTGCTACCATTCGCTTGACTCACTTCGATAAATCCTGCCCCGGGCCTGGAATTACAAATAACGACACAGAGGAATAGTAAAAAGACAAATCAATTAAATCCTTCGTCAGTCGTTTGCGCGACACACCAGACAGTATTCGAGTGCGAAACGCGTAACTCAAAGCCAATAAGCACCAACAATATTTTCCATGTACCCGCGTACAAAGGCACTTAGATCCATGCTTGACGAAACAATAAACTCAGGAAGCGCACCACGCAATCTCACTTGAATAACGGTATGTAAAAATGGATTTCTGTGGTCTCCGAAAAAAACTTAATATATGAACAAGTTGACTCACGTACAGGTGAGAAGGAGATATCCCCCCGCCCCTCCTTTTCCCGGCCTTCACTCTACGAAACAGGTTTGTAGGGCTCGTACATTCACAGTCTGAGCACCAAACAAAAACAGCAAAAACACGGTGCATACGTTGTATTTTATATTCGCGAGCAATGAAGCAATGTTAAAACATTTCCATTTAATGCCGAACTCTTCCCCATTGTCTCTTCCCAAATCTTCAAGATGTCAGCGAACCGTTTTTACAAAATATTCATAATTTAGAAGCTTTGCGTTAAATTTCCATAAATCCCAATCAATCTTGCTTCTTTAAAGGTATAAGGCATAAAAGATAGAAGAGCGCGATCACTAAAAGACACGGGATTAACCTCATACTGCTCGCACCCTCTGACAAGGTTGAGACAAACGTAGGGTCTAAGCGCGCGTGGGTTGCACCTTGAGAATACGAAAATGAACTTTTTTTGGGGAAAACCGGTCTAAAAGTGGAGAGGGTTCGGCTGTTTTTAAGCATTGAGTCCTCTTTTCAAGTTTGCCCACCTGTGCCTCGCCAAAGAGTTTTTTGAGGACACCCCGTTTCCCAACTAAAGGTAAAACATAAAATGCAGAGCCCTCTAGCCCACCCCGGTGCTATGGCAAATACTCAAAAATGAATATTACTTAAGAAAACTGGTCTGAAGGTGGGGATGGTTGAGCCATTTTCACGCATTCGTTCTTCTTTTGAAATTCGGGCACCTGCGCCTCATCCAGGAACTTTTTGAGATAGGCCGAATTCTTAGCCGCTGACGAAATACAAACTTTATGACCGCCGACTACAAGCTGGTGCCATTGCAAAATTTTGGGCTCCAGCTCTCTTCAGATAATGTGATATAAAGTAGGATATTTCAATACGCTCCTTTTTTTTTTGCAGAGAGATTGAGATAATTAATTTAATGTAAACATTTAGTATGCGCGTAAATATTCTTTTTTTTGACAGGCGAATGTCGAGTTTAAAAAAAACACAATTATCCTCTCATAAATCATTTATTGACCGCAGTGCTCCCATTCCCTACATTAAAAATGACTGTTATAATCACATAACATTAATAATTAGCAAAAAATATTTGTGGTCGTAAACGTTTAAACGAGAACGAATCCACCTTATTTAAAAAACTGGTCTCAGGAACCCAACAAAATAATTTTGAGAAAAAAACAAGCGGACCCATTACATTTTAGATTCGTTTAGTTTAGTTCAGTCATTAGAAAAATTTTGTATTTAGCTGTGTTCTTAAATTGTGCTCGTTTGAACATCGCTGTTTTCTAAAAATTCCTGTGATGTTCCTCCGAAATATGTTTTTCTATGAATGTAATATACTTCTTAGACTCTACAGCATTTGTCATAATATTAAGGAAGGATCCTAATTTATACAATCATAACGAGTTGTTTATACATAAGAATAAAATTTACACTTCGATTAATTTAAAACTATCCGCCTTGACAATACATAAAAAAAGTTTATTCAACTGAGCAACCTGCAGTGTTCACGTCATCATCTTGAAAATGTGGTAAAATGGTAGAATGGAGTAGTAGCATAGCATATATTGCTCAGAACGTAACGTTTCAGTGTTATGGTCATATTTGCGTATTTAATAAAAGAGCTTCTATGGGAGTGTTGACGTAATCCGCTAAGAGATGGCGCAAGCGTTCGATGGCACAAATTTCCTAGGATGCGGTGCCCAATTTGCGTTTTTTACACAATCCCTTTACACATGGAAACGCGTTTTTAATGTTCTGTGGAGTTACGCGAGGTATATGAGAACTAGTCGATCGAAAACTATTGCATTGCAAGACGACTCTGGATATATATCTGAGCTGCCCGATGTCTGTCATCGTTTTGCTACGTTCTCCTATTTCGTCGGTGACTTAATTACTCCGTGCACTGTTATGGCCGATGCTCCTCTTGAATCTACCCGCAGCTTGGCAGTTCCGAATCTTACGCTTGAAGATGTGCTTTCCGGAATATGAGCTCGCTCCAAAAAAGTCGTGCGGTGAGGACAGAATTCCTGCTTTCATTATAAAAGGACTCAGGGATATATTGCCGGTGTTGATGCATGTTTTGAACATGTCCTTAGAGGCCAATGTATTTCCTCAAAGATGCAGGAATGCAGTAGTTGTACCTACACATACATCTGGTCGCACTGACTACGTTAATAACTATAGATCAATTTCTCTTCTTTGCTCTTTTTCTAAGGTATTTGAAAAGGCAAAATATAAGCGTATTTATTTTCATTTTAAATCCTCTCTTTGTCTCAACCACCATGGTATTTGTCAGGGGCGTTCAGTGAAAACAAACCTTGTATCATTATTGGAACACACTCAAAGTTTTTTATCTCGTAGATCATAAGTTGTTGCTTGCCAAATTTTCGGTGTTGGGCATGAGCATCCCGTTTTGCAGTTGGTTGTCTAGTTACCTTGGCGGAACACCTAACAGAGTGCTGAAGGAATTGTGCTTTTCTGCCTCATATGTTTCAAATACTGGAGTGCCTCAAGTGTCCAATCCGGAGCCGTTCTTATTCAACATTTTTGTCAATAATTTGGTAGACAGTGTGCTTGTGCAATCAGCATCTTTGAGCAGTTACTTAACTGAGGTAATCTAATAACTTTGGTGTGGGTAACAACGAGGGGAGGGCCTTAGAGCGATAAACTCGCAACTGAAAGTGACCCCCGATTGGCCGCCGCCATGTTTCACATTTTGACCACTAGAAACGTGACCTTATTGTTTTGCGTCTAGGTTCTAACGAAGTACCGCGCACAAAAAATTGCTTATTGATCTTTAATAACATTACCGACGAGATAAGTTATGTTTCGTTTGTTTGAAATCCGAAGTGTGGTTTTACGACAAAAGCTCGAGCAGTTTCCTAAAACCTCCGCTAGATGCCGTTAACCGCGGTGCTGTATTTTGTTTTTCTTTTTTACCTTGACACGTGTCTCCGGAGCTAACAGTATTGAAAATATACTTTATCATGTTTTTTTACAGGATCGCGATACAAATCTTGGCTCAGTTTTGCGTAAAAGCCTCAAAATTTGGTACGGTCACGTGTCTAGCGGTCAAAATTGGACAACATGGCGGAAGCAAGTGGGGTCACTTTTGCCTGGGGAACGGAATACCAGTTTTTCGCTCTAAGCTCTCTACCTCGTTGATGGGCAACGAACCGCGCGCATTCGACATATCACTCCGCGGTTTTACCGGTCGGTGGCGCGAGAAACCTTAGTTTGCTATTGGCTGCCAGTGGTCCTGGTCTATACTTCAGAAACATCCTCAGGGCACCGTTAAAGGCATTGTTGTGCATGATATAATGTTATGTTTATACCCCAGGAAAGCAACCGTGACCGTCAAATCTACCGAGGGTTATCGAGACAAGAACGCATTGGAGTTCAAAACGCCCCGTAAGTAGTCGCCTTCGTATACTCACTTTCCAAACTAACAACGCGTGTAGCGAATGCCTGCGTTATACCCATGAAAATAACATTACATTTACGTAATACATGTGTTGGTGCTCAAGCTACTGTCTTCAATACTCAATATACAGGGTGATACAAGGAGAGGCCAGGCTCTTTAAAACGACCGGACTCCGGCCGAAACGTCGAAGAATAAATCGTCCGTTGTTGCTGTTTTCACTAAGGGTTTTTTCTTCTCAGTTATATACCCACGCCTTCGGCCTCCTGCCACCATGCCCGTTGTATATATATATATATATATATATATATATATATATATATATATATATATATATATATATATATAGGAGGCCATGCGCTGATTTAATGGGTTCCAGGGCTACCTATTAGATGGCGCCAGTGTGCCAGATTTATAAAAGCGCTGGTGATTCTGACTTATCCAAGTACCGCCATTCTGTAATGGATCGTGCCGCGAGCACTCCTATTGGATGCCTGCGACGCGTCGCCATTTTTTGGCTCATGGCGCATCCCGCATCCAGACGCACACGCTCCGATTAGTCTGCTGTGGCTGCCGGTGATGCGCCGCCGTTTGCGAGCACGCTCCCATTGGTCTATATACTACAGATGCCGGCGCCGCGACGCCGCGACAAACTAGACTGGGGGCGACGCTCCGCCATTCTTGGCTCAAGTGCGTCCCAGCATGCACCAGCTTGGCGGTAATTGTTCATTAAATTCAAATTCATCCAGCGCTTTAAGCGTTTTGAGTGGAAAGCGCCTAAATGACATTAGTGTAAGAAAAAACCTGAAAAAGTTTGTGAAAAAAATTGCGGTGGCTTAGCTCTGCTATGCCAGGATATACGTAGCGTGAGCTTATGCGCACAAAATGAGAGGCGCTATCAAGCGGCTCCGGTGCACTCTCAGACTTGGCTACTGCGCAACGGAGGCACACAGCTGGGCACGTGGCGGCGACAGTGCGTCTGCCGCGGCTATGACGTCACTCTGGAATGCGCAGACCGGCGAGGCGGGCGAGGTGGGCGAGGCGGGCGCGTCGGCAGCGGAGCGCGCGGCGGCGGCTACGTGTGGCTCTCATAATGAGCCGTGCTCATTATGCGAGCCGTGCTCATTATGCGGAGCTCCACCGCCGCCGCCGCGCACTCCGCATAATGAGCACGGCTCGTATAATGAGCACGGCTCATTATGAGGGCCACGTGAAACTGCTCAACCTCGCCAGTGTAGCTAACGCTACAAAAAAGAACGAGTTTAAGGGCTAATTTTAGCGTATTTTGTCTTGTGAATTTGAATAGCACAAGCATTTGACCCGAACGTATCGATAAACGCGAGAAAAACCGCAAGACCAACCGATAGGTGTGACGTCATACCCAGAGGTTTCAACTGCCTTGCGCGTGCCGCTTGTGAGGGAACGAGTGCGGTGTTTTTGAATGCTGGAGTAAGGCTTGCGGAAGGCGCGGATTGTGATCTCTGTAACGTACGCCACGACTCTCTCCTCCCAGCGAAAGTGCTGAGGAGGAGGGGCTTCAACGCTACTTTGAAAACGCTGTTGCGGCTAACTGAAAGCAGCAATTTAAAATAGAATATCGACATTCGTGATCTTGGAGGCCAAATAAAGATTATTTAACCGTATTCTCTCAAATACAGAACCGCTTTAGTTTTCCTTTAAAGGGGGGGGGGGGGGGGGTGCAACGATTTTATGATTGAGGATAATTTGCATCTTGTCATTTTTACGTTGTTTATCGTGTCCCAGAGGATAGAGAAATTATCTCCTTCATTAAAAATGTCGCGATTCCGCTGCATAATCGCAAAGCAAAAGCCGATCTTTTCCCCCCACCTGCAGCCGCAAGTGGCAGCCGAAGGAACTACGGCTAGAAGATTACGTGACCTCGCTCGGCTCTAAGCTGCAAAATAACGCCCGCTAATGTCAGCAGAGAGAGGGACAGGAAGCGGCCTCCGAGATAGCACGCGGGAACCTACACGGCACTCCGAATGACGTCACTAGGAGGGGGACCAGGTGTGACCCTGAAGACTGGGAGTGAGTTGAGGGGTGCCCAAAATGCCAATATTTTTTCTTTTTTTTTACGCAACAACTAGGACACGCAGGCGAAATCGGTTTTCTGTTCTTTACTTCAGAAGTGTCAGAGGCCAACTTCCACAAATTTTTGACCGAAGTCCGGAAATCGTTGCACCCCCCTTTAAACAGTCACAAGGGAACGCCAAGTAGCAGCACAGTCCAACGCAAATGTCTGAACCAGCATTTAGGCTTTCGATTTTGCCGTGTTTACAAAGCGTTTTAATGATTTCTTCATTCCTTCACAGAGGGATCGGTAGACGTGCGCGTTGCCTACGTGGACTGCGACACTTGCAAGGTTTTTAGGCATCCCTATATCAAATCAGGTGAGGCTTCCAGTTTCATTTCGACTTTGCCACGTGTTGATGACTAGATTCTGCTCCCACTGCAAAATCGAGGCAGGAAATCATCAAAACCTGTTATTTTTGAACAAGGTTTGCCGCAATTAACCGGCGAATTTGAACGGGCACTCTACACTGTAATGAAGTTGACAGCGCAATTCCTCTTTCGAAAGCGAAGTTCCTACTAAAAACATGTCTATTTGAAACACGTACTATTCCGGTTGTTAAGAGCACGACAAGCCCGCAATTGGTACTTCGCGCGCCTGCCAGCCTTAAAAGATGCTCTAGTTCAGACTACAGATCTAAAGCTCCAAGCTCAAGTTCCAATCCTTGAGCTCTAAGACAAATCGTGATCTGAAGAAGGCTGTGGGTGCCGCAGTCAAACCAGAAAGCCCGATCGACTGCTGTCATTCAAATCGTGTGTGGTCTGTTGTATTAAATCTTTATCAAATTAATGTCCAGATTCCGGTCTCAATACGTCGTTTTCCGTAATCACTTTCAATACCTGCGAAAAAAAACATACATAGCATTCTGCTTTTTTTTTTTTTTTAAGGTTCTAGGAATGTCCAAATGCCGAAATTTCAGCTCGAGTTAAATTCAAAGCGAATAATTCCGAATAGTAGCCAAAACTTGGGCGGTGAGATTGGCTAGTGAAAATCAAATATTTAATTTTAATGCAAACAAAAACGAAACACCAACCGCCTACACTAGACAAAATACGCTATATGTTTATTCTACTACTCTGAACGAAGAGCGGAGTGTAGCAATCAAGACGGGGGTTAATCAGCGTTTGCCATATTTGCTGCCAACAAACTTGAGACGCAATTGAGATGTGTTTCACCCATTCGCGTTTGAATACACACGGTCGACAGCGTGATTACTGTCATGTAGGGCTGAACGGCTTTAATCTGAGCCGCGCTTTCAAAGTGCTTGGCAGCTGGGACACAACCGAACAGTTTATGAAGGCCACCGAGGCTCTAATACGATTTCTGAGAGACACAGGACTTTCGGACAGACTCTAAATGACTGAGAACTTTATATGAGACTGCTTACATAATTCACTAGATCATAATCATCTTCATTGACAATTTTCACCTCATATTCCTACCCCACTGCTATGTCTTTCCTTCCCCTTCTCCCTATCCCCGGTGCAGAGTAGCAAACTAGAACTGACGTTCGGGTTAAAATCTCTGCCTTTCCTTCATAAAGCACTACTACTACTACTCAAAATAGCGACATGCGTGGTTTGCCGGTTCCTTTCGAGCACGTCCAATCAGATCGTACGCGAGTGCTTTAAGAAATATCTATTTTTTTTTATTCAACTGGTTAGTTAGTAAAGACTTTTCAAGGCAGACTTGATTGTTATTCGACCGAAAAGATTCAAGGACTTCGTCACCGAAAAAAAAAAAGTTCTTCAATAAACCCAGATTTTGTCCAGCAGAATATTGTGTGTCGAATTAAAAAACTGGAATACTAGTATTTCAAAAATTGTACAGAATTATTTGGGCAATCACTATTCGAATCGAAGGTGAAACTCGAATATCCTCACACCCCTACTTTTTTTTCCTCATTCGCAAAATGTTTTGCCTGGGGCTTCGCCTTAGGTTGGAGGCACGCTTTCAGCGTCTACTTTTGATCTAATCTCTGCGCGCTTAAAAGATGGATCGTATAATTGTTTTTCTTTGTAATTCCTTCGTCTAGTGAGACAAGCGAGCGCTGCTGTATCGCTCGCTTGTTTGCCTATGTAAAAGTGAAAAAAAGCTATTTGCCACTCCAATTTAGGAACAAAAAGCTGTTCGTCTATTTCGCCAAGGATTGGGCACGGCTGTTGGAGAATGATACCGACTGCTATTTTCACCTTGGCTTCAATCGCCACCCCCTTCCATTGCGATCTGAATGAACATCGTACGGCATGCGGTTGTGTGTGATGCACGTTGAAGGCCAAATGCTTGAAGTGGTACTACACTGGCTGAATGTCTTGTATACAGCTGAGACGCCAGACGCCTATTGAAGCTGACTAACTTCCGGCGGTATAAAAATGCGCAAAACACCATTCCTTAATTAATGAATTGAATAAAAAAATAACAATGAATGAATGAATGCCGTTTCACAAGTATCACAATGTATTATGTACTAAAGGCCATCTATGGGTGCATACTGATACTCTCTTGTTTTACATTTATTACACTTTTTAGATCACAAAAGGTGTGCAGTTGTGTTAACAATTTACCAGCTCAAACTTCTTGTTAGCATTCCTTAAATTCTAACAGCGTAACTCTGCTGCTGGTGTCTCCACTCTTTGTATTTCAGGTCCTGCTTGCAGCGTTTTGGTTACGGAGAGTAACCTGGGAAAGACCACCTTCTGTGATTTTGTCTTCGACCTGCTTTGCGGTGCCTCTCCCAAATATCAAATCTACGAGGAAGGTTGCAAATAAAAACGCTAAAAGCAACAACTGTCTGCATTTTGTTGACGAAATACGTGTAAAGAAGTTGTAGACGCCTTTTACGTCCCAAGTGGAAAGACCCTAGTCAAATAATGTCGACGACATATGGAGAATTGCATTGCAATATGTAGGAGGTAAACTAAGGTGGCGCGTGATTTATTACTTGAGAACGGAAATTTTAAATTTCCGTTCTCCGACTTCACTTGGCAGCAGCGGCGGTGGCATACGGTCAGCAGCTAAACAGCTTGCAAATTTTCTGGAGAACGTTGGCTGGCCCGTCAGCAAGATCAAGTGAGCATCACCTGTGCGGGAGCACTTTTCATCGCACCGTCACGTTTTCAAGCCAGCACGCGCAGCGCTGTCATCCGCGGCGCCACTGCAGACAAGGACAGCCCAGCTGATTGGTCCGCCAGCATCGTTACCACCAGCGAAAGCCCACAAAAGGACGGCATCTCTTCTTCGGCCACTTCACTTGGCAGCAGCGGCGGTGGCATACGGTCAGCAGCTAAACAGCTTGCAAATTTTCTGCAGGTTAGTAGTTGAACTTCTGCTTTTGATTTGTACTTACTGTTGTTGCTGCTGCTGCTGCTGCCTTGCTTGCTTCCAACTGTATTGTTTACTTACTTTTTTTTTTTTGCCATTATCTGGAATATTGAATTTCTTCCGGGGAACTCTAGAATTATTTTGTAATGGCGTCTTGCGTCGGTTGTGACGAACCAATTGATGAAAGGAAAAATTCAGTGACATGTGTGGAATGTAATTATTTATACCATTTGGGAGCCTGTTCAGGTGTCTCTGAATCAACTTACAAATCGAAAGGTGAAACATGGCGAAATGCATGGCGCTGCCCGACATGCAGAACAGCTAAGTCAAGGAGCAGTCAGAGTGGGAAGCAGAAATCAGATGACAGCGATGCGACCGCTATACTCGCTGGAATTCATGAAAAACTGGAGTCGCTCATGTCACTAAAGGCAACTGTTTCTGCCATCGAACTGTCTGTGAGCATGATGTCGGCGAAATATGACGAGGTACTCCAACATATGCGTCAACATGACACCGACATAAAAGATCTAAAAAAAAGGGTGACAAACATAGAAAACCGTGACAGAGAAATAAACGTTCAACATATTGCCCAGGACTTGAACGCACTCGAATGGCAAAGTAGGAAAATGAACCTTGAGATACACGGAATTCCAGTGTCTGAGCACGAGAACCTTGTCGAAAAGTTAAACCAGGTCGCTGTAAAACTGGACGTGCCGGTACTTTCCGAGATTGAGGTTGTTGCCTTGCACAGGCTACCGGCGCGACAAGACAAAGTGCCCGGAATTATCGTTCGCTTTGCAAGACAGGACACCCGTGAACAGTGGTTCAATCAACGGAAGAAACTAAATCGCACAGGAGAAGACGCATACATTCTTGAGAACATGACTACCCAAAACCGTGCTCTGCTCTGGAAAACAAGAGAATGGGCAAAGCAAAATGATTACCGCTACACGTGGCACCGAAACGGTGAAATTTTCGTGAGACGAACCGACGGTGATAAGGCCATTCTTATCAAGAGCGAGATGAACTTGCAGCATTTGAACTGAATAATGTTACTGTTTTTTTTTGTTTTTTTTACATGACTACTTCCATAAAAATTATGCCAGAGCCGAATTATTTTTTGGCCTCTGAATTAAAATCCTATCTCGGGAATGAGTATAGTAAGTCATTCAAATGTTCAGCTCGGAACAAAACTGAAGAGCTTGCTTTATTTTTTAATGAATTTTGTTTTTTGTTCGATGTTATTATGTTTTCAGAAACATGGTACTCAGACGACAGTGATGTTTTTGAACTGCCAATGTATAATGGATACTTCCTGAATAGAACAACTGGGCGCGGAGGAGGCGTGTCGTTAATGCTTAGAGATAATATGTGTGGTGAGGTTTTAGAAGAATACTCGATCATTAATAAAGACTATGAAGTGCTATCCCTGCTTGTGAACAAAAATCTTATCTCTGTGTTTTATAGGCCACCGGACGGGAGTTTGACGTCTTATTTTGCTTTTCTAGAAACATATTTTAGGTTCGCAACAGAAAACAGATATAATATTATTCTGGGGGGTGATTTTAATCTAAATATGCTTCAAGACACCCCAAATAAAAGACAATTAGAAGTACTGATTAACAGTAGTGGTTGTACGAATGTCATTACCTCACCTACCAGAATTACAGCAGAATCATCAACTTTGCTCGATTTGTTTATAACAAGTTTTGAATTACCCTGCGTAAAATCGGGGATAATTAGTACAGATATAAGTGATCATCTAGGTATAATTTTGTGTGTGAAAAAAGAAATATCTAAAACTACAAGGAACAGATTTCGAGGATCCTTTCAGAATATTACTGAGTATAACCTTTGTGAATTTAGGACTAAAATCTCGGAACTAGACTGGAACGAAGTCTTTAATGAAATGAACGCTGACGAAGCATATAATTTGTTCTTAAACAAATTTCAGCAACTATATAAAGTGTGTTTTCCTTATAAATCTGTTAGATTGAC